GTCTTCCTTCTTCCAGTATTGCGCCACCAACAGTCTTGCTGCCGTTATTAAGTGCAGAACCAAATTGGTCTCTACCACTGTAAAGTCCGTACATATACCTAGTAAGAAGCTAATCTTTGATGCACCCCGTCTCTTTCGATCTCTGTTCCAGAGTGCACCTGAAGTGTTGAAAGATGGTGAATGCCCAGCCATGCTTACGCCAAGCAAGATCTGTAAGTCCTTCCGGAAAACAAGGCTGGTAGAAGAAACTCTGGGGATTTTATTCTAGTTTCAAGAGCAGTTGAACCACCTTAACACAGCCAACAAGGGCTGTGACTGCCAGCTTCCATAGTCATTCCATAGACAAACTCTAGATTTGATGCTGATTTTACTTGTTACTCACAGGATAAATCTCTTACTTAGCCTAGTTTTCTTAAACTCTGCAGCTGCTTGGACTTGGGGGCTAATTCTTATTCACTTAAACTTTATGACACTTTTACTATGTAGCTTCAGTGATTTGTTTTTTCAGAAAGTAAAACCTGTGATAGTTTCCAGATTCTTAAGATTTCCCCTTATTGTTTTAAAGACCAATATATTAAATAGGAAGATCGAGGGTGTTGCTTTTAGCTATTCCCGTCTATTGAATAGATGACTATGATTCCTCTAACTTGAAATGTATATTTTTCTGTGTGCCAAGGGTTCCCTCTTTTTCTATGTTTTGGTTTTTGAGCCAATTTCTTTTTGAACATTTAGTAGTGGGTGAGCATCTTTCAGCCAGATGCTTGTAACACATGTAATTCTAATAAATTCACTATCGAATTTAGATTATGCTTTAATACAGCCTCTATTAGTAATCACAATTGGGAGTTGCAGATAGGTCAGAATGATGGGTATAATCAGCCTACATTGGTAGTAATAGGAGTAATAGGAGTTGGTATTTCCAAGAAAGAAAACAAGTGGGAACAATAGAGTAATTGCAAAAAAAATCATCAATAAAAATAGTGTATTAATAAAAGTAATTTTAAATACCTCTTAAAAACCTTCAGACTCTTCCCAAAGGGTAAAGAGGAAGCTAATTCTAGAGTTCTTGAAAGCTTAGAACCTAGAGATTACAATTCTGGATGGGGAACAGAAAGGACACCCTTCCCAGAGAATATAAAATATGAACAATATTGTCAGAGGACATACAGTTATATACTGGGAGGAGATGAGATACTGGGAGGCTACTGGGAAAAACCAATAGTTTAAAGTGAGTTGGCTCAAATAGGGAACATGAAGGCCCTGCAGCATTTGTGAAACATGAGAATAATATGTTGCTCTAACGAGGCAGAGGAAAAAACTGAGTTTAAGTGTTTAAATCTCTTTGATGTTTAAACAGTGGCCCGTAGATGTTTACCTGCAATCTATAGTAAGAAAGGTGTTATCATGGTTGGAAACGCAACAACTTTTGATGATGGAAGTGGAAGTGGGAAGAAAAGAAATGTGACAGATCTTCTGGAAGGGGCCAAGTGAGTTTTATTTGTCTGTTGTGATAAATTTATTTATTTGGTTTACATGGACAATAAGCAGAAAGTGACTCTTTTTGGTAGGAACATAAAAACCAAGTATTATAAAATCAAATTGCCACTGGAAAAGTGGAATAGTGTGAAAATGGGAGAAGATTGGTCACACTTACAGGGGGAAATGGCTGTCCTCCTCTGGACACTGGCAAAGCACTTTCTGTGTTAGAACTAAGACAAGGCTTAAGTGCTCCAAAGAGACACCTGCTGGCCAAGGAAGTTGGAAATCTTGAAGAAAGCCTTTTTAAGTGACAGTGTTTGTGCCTGTTGAATTGCAGATTTAGGAACTTTGGTGAACTGAGAATTTTATAGAGCCAGGGTGGCAGACAAATAGGGGCCAGATATAGCAATTAGGGACATGGTGGTGGTATGAATATATAGAGCCANACTCTAGTTTGACTTTGTTCTACTACTTGTGTTTGCATAATGTTGAATTCCAGTTTTGCATGATTGCTTTCCCCCAAGGTATAACACCAAATCAATCTAATCACTAAAATTCAAAATCAAAGTTTTATTTTTTTTCTATCTCAAGCACAAAGTCCAGAAGCAAATAGAAACAAAAGTACTATATTCTTTTCTTTAATCAAAATGGTCAGTTTAGCCATCTCTGCCAACTTCATCAACTTCTGTAACCATTCTTCCATGGTGGAAATCAAAATGTCCTTCAATTTTTGTGCCTACAGTAGTCTTGCTACTGTCAACACTTAGCCCTCATAACATCATCAGTTCCCAGTTTATCTTGGGGGGGAGGGGATTAACATAATTCCAGAGAAAGCATGAGGTGCTAAGAATGTAGAATCCAAGAAAAGGATTTCATGGACATTTTTCAGGATAGCACTTTATTTTAAGGATGACATTCTTTAAATTTTACTTAGAATGGTTTTAAAATGAATAATGATGGGATCTTGCAGGCACCAAGGATGGCTTCCATAAGCAGGTTGATGCCCATGAAGGCTTTTTTTTGGGGGGGGGGGCAGAGATTCTTCAGATAAACCTTGGATTGCAAACCAGAGAAGTTGTACTTATTTATGGTACATTGCAGTGCTTAAATTCGATCAATAATTGAATTTAATAATTCTTTGGGATTTTTTCAGATCTGTGTGAAGACGTGTCCAGACAGATACATCACTTTTCTACAGGCCTCCAGTATTGACCACACAGCAACCCAGGAACTAAAATATTATCAACAGTTTTGTGTCCCAGAGTTTACTGATTTGAAGAAGGTACGTGAGCTGAATTGTTGGATTGTTGCTGTGTTCTTTCTGAAAGTGCAGGTAGAGAATATCCTTTTCTAGACAGAAGCTAATCTTTATTTTTTATTTTTTATTTTATTATTATTTTTTAATGTCCATTCTTGAGTTGTAGGCAAGTCTTCCTTCTTCCAGTATTGCGCCACCAACAGTCTTGCTGCCGTTATTANATCGGTCTAGTGGAGGTAATTGGCAGTAGGCGGTCTCTCAAGTACCCAGGTCCACTACCATGAAGGTTTGTGAGAGCAGAGTCAACATGATGTGCGTCACGGGTAGTTTCAACAACTTGTGAAAGCCTGAAGAGGCTTCTGCAAAAGCCTAGTCCTTCAGAGGAATCTCTCCTGGGCCTGGCAAGGGCTGCTTGAGAAGACTCAGTCCTGCGTTCTTCAGCACAGAAGCTCCCACAACAGCCAGAAGAGACTCCAGGGAAGAACCACGTCACCATCCTCCCTCTTTCTTTAAGAAAAAGTGTACATGTGTGTTGCAGCCTTCACCAACGCAATTTCTCTGCTGCTGTTTTCTCCCTCAGGTATCACACGGGTTCACTGGCCTTTGGGTCCCTGATCCTTGCCATTGTCCAAGTCATCCGAGTCATTCTGGAGTACTTGGATCATAAACTCAAAGGTATTGGCCCTTTCCACCGGCTTCTCTCGGGCGCTTATTTTGCAAACCTACTCCCAAGGGATGCTGCTCTTGTGATTTGTGGGATGATAGGTTTTTTAAATTTTTACTTAGATCTTTGTTGTGTCGTTCTATAGCCACTATAGGAATTTGCACTGCAGGAGCATAAATAAATAAATAATCAGAGGGATACACGACTCTTTCTAATGTGATGGGAGAGAATACTAAGAACTTTCTCCTGTTCCTGTTTTTGCAATCCATTAGGTTCTGAGAATATGTTTGCCAAGTTCCTGTTGACCTGTTTCAAATGCTGCTTCTGGTGCCTGGAGAAGTTCATCAAGTTTTTGAATAGAAATGCATACATTATGGTGAGGAATTTAAGCGCCTGATACTTATTTAGGGCATTAATGCAGATTTCCAGATGCTCTGCACAGTAGGGGAACTGTTCTAAATACTTAGCCATAACTTTGGCAGAGGTTGCAAGTTTTCCTTTAGATCAGTGTTTCTCAACCTTGGCGACTTTAAGNGTTTATATTTATTTGTATTTACTAGATTAAGTGGTATATGGTGCTAGACAAATAAGTTAAATATTGTTAGGTCTATATAATTAGAACAATTTTGATATTTTTGATATTCAATGACTAATATTAATAATTTAAGTAATAAGCAGTGGTGGGGTCTATCGGTGGGAAAAAGCAGTGGGAATGTTGGTTGGAGTCCAAGTTTGTAGAAAAATTTCTAAAGATGACAAGTACTACAAATGTAACTAAAGTAGGAAGAGGGAGGAAGCAAATGGCCCAGATATCATTGGCTATTTCTAGTCCGTCAAAGCAGAGATCGATTGAGGATGTGGGCCAAAGAGATAGGTCCAATTCATTTAAAGATCTGTAGGCCATGAGTCAATGCAAGAAGCCATGAGAAAAAACCATGATGAAATGAAAAAAGAGACAGGAGAGGGGGGAAACGATACGGGAGAACTTAAAGAAGAAATGCAAAAGGTGGATGATAAATTCGAATTTTTTCAACAACAAATTACCAAAAATGAACAAAAACTGCAGTTGATGGAAGAGAAAATGGAGAGAGAAGAAAATAGATTGAATGAAATGAGTGAGAAACTAATCCAAGTGAACAAGGAATTGGAGACTAGAGTTATTTCTCTGGAAACAGAGAAAGCTGGCTGCCTCAGCAACTGGAATTCCTGTGGCCCCGTCATTGGCCCCGTCATATCTGACACATCTGAGATCTTTTCTGTAGAGGTTTCTTGGTGAGTCTTTTTGCGGAGTAGGTTGCCAAGTCTTTCTCCAACCCTGTAACTTTAGTTTCAACAGCTGCTCAGGGACAGCAACTGCCACGGGCCTTGTTAATCCAGTCAATGATCAATCTAGTATCAGGTTCTTTTTGTGTTGTCTTATTCTGGTTAATGGGTTTCTGGATATTCTTAATGTGGCTCCTTAGCTGAGACCCGTCTGGCTTGGGTGATCCTTCCGGTATACTTTCTGGTGGCATATCTCCAGCACAGCTCTGAACCTTAAAAGAACATGCAATGCGCCCCGACAAGAGGGCCTCCGCATGGAGGAGGAGATGCTCATTAAACAGATACAGTAAGAGCAAGTGAAAGAGGACCTCTTGGTATAGATTGGACATCCTTTCTTTCATTTTCAGCAGCCTATATTAAACCAAGAGTTGCTCTGTAACAGCTTTGCCTGTATCACATAGCTTCTAGGGATCAGCAGTATTCTTCCTGGAGCAATGGGAGCATGAGCCTGTTCGCAAAGGCTTGACTGCAATTCTGTTTTCTGTGAATGCGGAGACAGTTGGGAGCAACTTTCAAAGCCCCACAAGCCTTGGGTAAAAATGTGTGCTTTATCAATGAAAATAGGCGCTCACATGCGCTCCTGTGCATTCTAAAGCTTCTCCAGCTGATGGTGAAGGACGTTCCAGAAGTGGGTTGTTCAATCCTTATTTGCCCGAGAGACGGTGTGCAGGTTCTCAGTGGAAGGCAGATTGGTAGCAGTTGTATTTTCTGCAGTTCTAATTATCCGTTGAAGTCTGTATCTGCCTAGTTTGGTTGCAGAGCCAAACCAGACTGTTATAGAGGCACAGATGACAGACTCAACCATTCCTCTGTAGAACAGAATCAGACGCACCAACTTCCTGAGTTGGTGCAGAAAGAACAATTCTTTGTTGTGCTTTTTTGATGACGTTTTTGATGTTAGGTGTCCATTTTAGGTCTTGAGATGTGATAGAACCTAGAAACTTGATGTTCTCTACTGTTGATACTGTGTTATCTAATATTGTAAAAGGTGATAGCATAGGAGGGTTTCTCCTAAAATCTACCACCATTTCTACCATTTTGAGTGTATTTAGTTGAAGATTTACTTTGGGGACGCGGTGGCTCAGTGGCTAAGACGCTGAGCTTGTCGATCAGAAAGGTCAGCAGTTCAAGTGGTTCGAATCCCTAGCACCACATAACGGAGTGAGCTCCCATTACTTGTCCCATCTTCTGCCAACCTAGCAATTCGAAAGCATGTAAAAAGGTCAGTAGAAAAATAGGAACCACCTTTGGTGGGAAGGTGACAGTGTTCTGTGTGCCTTTAGTCATGCTGGCCACATGACCATGGAGACGTCTTCAGACAGCGCTGGCTCTTCAGCTTTGAAACGGAGATGAGTACCGCCCCCTAGAGTCGGGAACAGCTAGCACATATATGCGAGGGGAACCTTTACCTTTACTTAGTTCAAGGTTGTTCCGGTTGTACCACAAAGCTATTTGTTCAACCTCCTGTCTGTATGCAGAGTCATCGTTGTCTCGAATGAAACCAAACACTATTGTATCATCTGCAAACTTCAGTATTTTAACAGAGGGACCTTCTGAGATGCAGTCATGGGTATATAGAGAAAGGAGAAGTGGAGAGAGCACACAGCCTTGGGGGCTCCTGTGCTAATTGTACAGGTATCTGGTGTGATTTTGTCTAGCTTCACCTGCTGCTTCCTGTCTGTTAGGAAGCTTATCATTTACACATCTACAGAAATTGCATTTTCTTTCCTCCGGTTATCTTCACTTTATGCTGCTTTTAATTACAGAAAGGCAAATGTCCTTCTGGAGACAAGACAAGTAGCTATGAAAATCTTTGAAGATTACACCGTTTCCTGGTACTGGATAATAATGTAAGCAAAGGACTGAATAGCCCAGCTAATCTATGGAATGAATTTAGGACCAAACTATCCCGAAAACAAAACTTTAGAGAAATTGTATAAACTTGATGTAGATTATATGGGGATCTCCCTTAATTTAATCTATATCAGACTTAAGGAAGATTGACCTGAGATAATGACTGGCTCACTCAGTAAGCACCATTAAAAGCAAGATGTTGGGCTTGGATTTCTTTGGTCTGTAGCCAAAATTTTAACTTATTATACTAGCACTTTTTACACACTGTCTTTGCCCTAGCTGAAGCAATGCTCCCTGGCCTGCCTATTTGTTCATTCCCTCAGTTTTGGAGAGCATTCTACATTGAACATTAATTTCTTTTACATAATTGACATTGTTTATCCATATCCATCTACATTTTTATTGAGTTGTAAAGTAATGTAAAATATAAAATACAAAGTAAATAGGAAAGCAGTGGGGAGGAAAATGGAAGGAGAGGACTTCCGACTCTATTACAGTAAAATAAGGCATTAACATCGAGTCACAACTTTTTGCTTTTTCATAATAATATGAGCAAACCATTTCTATAAAGATCTATCAGTCTAATCAGTAAAACCCAAAGTCAGAATTTAGTTTAGTTCTTCTCCACATCAAGCACGAAGGTCAGAAGCCGTCTCCATGTGGAAGCAAAAGTACGTATGTTCTTTTCTTTCAACCAAAGTGGTCAATTTTGCCATTTTGGCCAACTACCATCAATTTCTGCAACCATTCGCCCATAGTGGGAATCGAAGTGTCCTTGCATTTTTGTGCATACAATAGTCTTTTTGCTGTCAACATATATAATAACAAAGTTCCATTTTTTTCTAGTTCTTTTTCTATTAAACCCAAGAGGAAAAGTTCTAGTTTCATTTTTATCTCCATTAGTTAAAAGAGGGGATTCAAATATGAATCATACTTCAAAATTGTTTTGCTTTATCACATGTTCACCATAGATCCCCTCTTTATTTTTATCCTTCCAGCATTCATTTGACCACAAAATGTTTTAATTTATTTGGGATTAGTATGACACGTAAATCAGACTACTGTAGTTTATTCCACAAATCATGCTTTTAAAAATCCTGGTTTAGCCTTAGGAGTGACTGTAGTTATTTTGTTTATTGATTCATGTNAATAAACATTCAGCATCCAGATTTAGAGATACGGTGGCTCAGTGGCTAAGACGCTGTGCTTGTTGAACAGATAGGTTGGCAGTTTGGTGGTTCGAATCCCTAGCATCACGTAACGGAGTGAGCTCCCATTACTTGTCCCAGCTTCTGCCAATCTAGCAGTTTGAAATCATATAAAAATGCAAGTAGAAAAATAGGGATCACCTTTGGTGGGAAGGTAACAGTGTTCCATGCGCCTTCGGTGTTTAGTCATGCCGGCCACATGACCATGGAGAAGTCTTCAGACAGTGCTGGCTCTTCAGCTTTGAAACAGAGATGAGCACCGCCCCCTAGAGTCGGGAAAGACTAGCACATATGTGCAAGGGGAACCTTTACCTTTATCCAGATTTATTATAACATTTTGACCATTTACATACAGTTTTCTTGGCCGTAATACAAAGTATTTTGCAGTAGCCGCCTTCTAGGTTTGATTTTTGGAATTTCTCCTCCTGAGTAGGTTATCTTACCTCATATCTATAGAGTCCCACCTGCGCTTCCCCCCCCCCCCGGGCCCGGTACATTTGTATGTTAGAAAATTTTGTAGTATTCCTATTTTGGTTACTTATTAAGACACAGTTACAACCACTTAATGAATAGCATTAATCTAAAACTATTTTAAAAAGTGAATTACAGTATAAAAAGTTAGTTGTAGCTGGATCTTTTCAAACTTTTCTGCTTTAACAAACTAAGAATGCGGGTTTCATTCTGTGAGGGAAAAAAAGAGCCATGGAATAACGTAAGATAATAAAAAGTATAAATAAGAATGTGGCAGCTTGAGAGAAGTTGAAAAACATTCTCTGCAGTGAAGAATCATGCACAATGTTATGAGATCAATCTTCATTTAGAAAAAGATATGAATATGACCGAACAGCTGAATCAGGGGCTTGGAGAGGAGTAGGATCAACACAAGGTGGAAGTTTTACATGGTACAAAATGAACATGGAAATGACAGCGCTGATAGTAACTGACAGTTTTTTTAAAAAAAGATGCCTCTCATTAGTTATTTGCTCTTATAACTGAATTAATGTTGTTGCATAACTATTCCTGAGTCCCTGATGCTGCAGACAGAAGAAGAGGGTTGTTGCTGAGTTCAAAGTTTCAAAACCCTCGGTTAACAATCTAGTATTTAACTTGTAGAAAGTCAACCACAACTTATCTATCTGAAATTATCACAATAGTTAACTCTGAACTGTCCTGGGTTAAATATTCTTGTTTGCTTTTTAATAACATTTGTTATCAATTGTTGTCTTACTGAATATAGTTAATCCATTCTCCAAAATCAATCTATCTTCCCCCCAAAAAGTCCAGTTGAAGTTGTTTTCCAGTTGAATATAACATGCCCATTTCCCAATCTCTTATCAATCTTCTTTCAAAAAGCTAATTTATCACTCATCAATTCTGTTGAAATTACCACAATTTCCTTAGGGAGAAAGCAAGTTATTCATAGCAGCAGAGTAGAACAAAGGAAAGATAGAAAAACAAACATATAAAACCCAGCAAGCAGTTAGACGAAATCAATATTCGGCCATTCAGTTAATTTTTTACAGTAAAAAAGCAAAGTAAAATAGAAACTTTGAAGAGTGCAGTTAAAATCCAGATGTGCTTAGAAAACCAGTCAGCTTAAGAGGAAGAGATAGAGGCTTGATTTTCCAGCTGCTCCTACAGGAACTGTAGCCTTGATGATTCTTCTTCCCAGATGGTTCCACGCTCATCCAAAAGCCCTCTGGGGTCATTCCTGGGTGCACCTGTTTAAATCCAAGGAGCAGCCCCACCAAAGAAGCAGCTTTGGCAGAAAAACCAGCTGGTCATCCGCAGAGAAAAAGATTGCTCTGGGCAAAGCAGTGCACGGGGGCCTCTACAGCAACTACTCACAGGAATAAAAATGTAAATGGTCAATAAAATTAAACATATATTTATTTGATTGGCACATCGAACAAAATCAAGTGTTGGTATAGGGCCCCTGTGCTCGTGCGGTCCACAGCAAGTGTCCATCAGGCGTTAAGACAGCCCTGCCCCGCCATTCCGTAGACCACCTCGGGAGAAGTTCCTGAAGATGAGCTTTCTCTTGACCTCTTGTTAAGGAAAACTTTTGTAGCTGAGTTTTCATCTCCATATTTTATGTCTGGCAGTTCTGGAAAAGGAAATAACAAATTGACTAAGATATAAAAATAATATAAAGTTTTTAATATGAGTGGGTCAAGTTTAGCTTTTTCAAGCCTAGAAAAATGTAACTTTTTTTCCTCCATGGTTTCTTTTTAATAGAAAGAAGGACTATAAATGTTTGTGATATTTTCATTTCAAATAGCATAAAACGATTTAAGATGTGGAAAAAAAATCCACAAATCGAAAATACATGAAAGAAACAAAGTAAACTAGTTCTGTGTTTTCCCAAAATATTCCCTGCTCCGAAAACAAGGCCTAGCCTGATTTTCACACCTGCGCCTAAAACAAGCCCTCCCCCAAAAGTAAGCCCTGCTTAAGCCCTGCTCTCCACCTGGTGGTATGAATGGGGGGAGGTGCAGGCTTAAAAATAAAGCTGTGGGGGGGGGAGAGCTGCCCAAAGCGCCCTGCACCCACTTATCTTAACAATGCCGCATCCAGGCCTCCCACGCCCCGACACCAACTTCTTCTGCAGCTGCTCACAGCCCCCCACACCAGGATGCGAGTGTCTGCTTCTTCCTGCTTTAGCTTTGCCCTCAGCCGGGGGAAGGGGTGCTGGCATGAGGCTCCTGGCGCTGGAGCATGGGAGACTCGTGGCGTTGCATGTGCAAGTAGTGGCGCTACTGTGGGGTTTGTCACACTGGTGCAGCCGCTCGCAGCAGGGGGCCCACCAGGCTCATTGCAGTGGTTCCACCGTGTGCCTGCAACAACACAAGCCTTGCAATGTCCTGGCGCGACAAGCCTCGCGAAGACCCGTTTCTGGCAGAGTGTGGGAGAGAGAAACAAGCCAGGGTCTCTGCTGCTTCTGCTGTCTTTGCATGCAGCCAAAACTTCGCGAAAGGCAGGAAGGTGAAATGCCAAGCTCAACCCAACATCTTGCATATTAACCCCACTTTCTCAGCCTCCTGTCCAAGTGACCCTCCCCTCCTTCTGAGGCTTTAGGAATACCTCCCAAGTCAAGTCAGTCACCATTTTGCCACGAACTGCCTGCTTGCGACTGAAGGCAAAGCTGAAGCAGGAGAAAGATGCAGCGGTGACTCCAGCCACTCCCGCTTGCTGGCCTCGCGCATACGCAGAGAGCGCCAGCAACGCCTTTTGCGGCAGCAGAGCCCAGAGCCCAAGTGCTCTTTCCGGCTTCTCTGGGACACTGAAGTGCCCTGAAGAGTAGGGCAAAAAAATTAAGACACCTCCCCTCAAAATAAGCCCTGGCACTTATTTCGAAGGTCAAAAGAAAATAAGACCGGGTCTTATTTTCGGGGAACAGGATATGTAAAATGATAGAGATGTTTGCCTCAGTATAGGTAAATTTTAAGATTCAAAATGATCATAAACAAAGAACTAGAAAGAACTGCTAGTGATAGTGATTCAAATTTGGAAAACGAGAATGATTTTCTGAGTCTTGACTCTTTCTTTTCCTCCCTTTCCCCCCATGGAAACGAGGGTGTTCTCTCTGTCTGGTCTAGTAAAAGAAACGGAAAAAACACAACACGTGATTTGCTTAATTACAGCATTGATGATCTGCTATTATTTTCAACATTAAATTTATGCTAAACAGATAAACATGAAGAGATGCAAAATGGAGAATTGTTATAGGAAATTTAGTTAATCGTGCAAAAAGCTAACTGCCTCTTTGGTGAGGGGTTAAGACTGCTTCCTGTTTCAATTGAGGAAAAACATTTTCAGGCAATTCCTGAAAATACCTATTTTGGGCCTTGTCTTCTAAGAAATAAGTATTTTGGGGCAGTAACAAAAGAGGCAAAAGAGACTTTTTCTTTTGGCCCCATTTTGAAAGCTGAGGAGGAAAAATGAAAATAAAATTAAGGAGTTCATGACAGCAATCACATTGCAGCTGATTGGCGGGCCAAAACCAGGTTCTCGCTCACCAGGATGGCTGGAAGACGGAGGGGTGGAAAGCAGTAGAAGCCTGATTAATAATTCACAAACGAAGTATGGTTCTTTGCTCTGTTGGAGTTGAGTGAGCCAACTCTTGTATATTGTTCTTCCGGTAGCGTGTTTTGCTAGTGGTAGTTCTTGTTTTAAAGTGAAGTATTTGGTAAAGAAATTACAGTTAGCTGAAGTCAGTGCATATAGTTGAAGGAAGGGGGTTTGCTGCAAGAGACTGGAAAAAGCTTAGGTCCCACTGTTTACCTAGAAGTAATGAACAATCCTTTCTTGTAGAATTTCTTCAAAGGCTAGAAATTATTATAAAGTAAATACAAGTACTATTCATTATATTTGAGCAACTCCTTATAACAAAATTTTAAAACATTTAATTCAGTACAATAAATAATGTACAAATATTGTCTATACAAATCATACTTTTTAATTTAGTTTGTTGTACAAGCAAAACAAGTTATATAAGTTCTGTAAAATAACACAGTGGTTTTGTATTTGTAATATTTAAAAATTAAACACTGCATATATATTTGCAGTGTTTGGAGTGATGAGGTGGCCTAGAAGTGAAGCTCTCGCCTCATAATCAGAATATATAATATATAAGAATATATCTGCTGAATAAAACTCCACATTGGCAACAAGAAAGGCATCCGGCCATTAAACACTCTGCTAGCTCCATTTCAGTTGTCCAGACTTCAGCCCGCAGGAAATTATGGAGTTGTTAAAAGATGATGATGATATATTTTTGCAGTGTTTAAAAATTAAACACTGCATATATTTTTGCTGTTCTAGAAATGTTCTTTTCCTTTTGAGTGAACCTTAAGGAGAAAAAAACTGTCTTTTAAATTAATTCAAAATTTGTGAAAATATTCCATCTTGAATTAATTTGTTATCAAAGTCCAGGGACAGGATCAGACAGACAGTATTTAAACCTATTTGCCTTCTGCTTTGCTTGCCAATGAATGAATTATAAGCTTTGGAAGATCAGAAGAAATTGCTGGATGATATTGGTCTCAAAGCCACCAACCATAGGAAATAGCAAATTGATGTCAAGTGGATGCATCTTCATTTGCTAGAATGTATATTCAATTTTGAAGCAGACTTTTTCCTATTGTAGCGTAGTTTTCGTTTTATTGTAGCATGATGAAAAGCTAATTGTGACTTTGCAACCAGTAACTTTTCATCCTTTCCACATCCCTTAATTCACAGCAATTCCCTTCTGCTATACTCGCAAGATTGTGCTATAATACAGCATAGAAATAGGCTACTGTCTAAGCTATCTTGTTCTTGACTTGGTGGAGGAATCTTAATTGCAATTAACTTCAACATTTCCTTTTTTCTCTCCTCTTTTGCTTTGTATCTCTTTGCCTTGTTTATTTTTGCTTTGCTTTGCTTCTCTCGTTCGTTCTTTTATGGATGCGTTCTCTGCCTTCTTTGGAATTCCAAAAGGCGAAGATCTGGAAAGGAACGATGGAACTCCTGAGCGGCCTTATTACATGTCCCCTGCCTTGAGTGAAATCCTCCTGAAGGGAAGCCTAAAATCTTCCAAAAGTGCTGAGAGTCAAGAATAGGGACGAGGCACCAAATGGGAAAGATGTGTGCAGGTGTCCCACTGCCAGCCTTTTATGTGCATGTGCTCTACCTCCAAGGGCAGTTTTCGATATTCTGAGAAAAGATGAGAGCTCTTGACTTGCGTCAAACAAGTAGCTGTGGATGGTATATACTTTACTCTGTTTCTGTCCAGGACATTTTCCAAAAAGGACTTGAAATTGGAGGGCAAAGGTGTTTGAAGTTGGGGAGGAAAGCCTCAGTAAGATTGTGCTGTTGCTATCTTAACTATGATTGCTTTTGGCACAGATATCCTATCAAAGAATAACACCAGAACAATTCAATATGAAGTAAAATTAATATCAACAGCAGAATATTAACAATTTCCATGAAAATAAAAATGTTTTCAAATATTGGACCTTTTCAGATTCCAAATCAGTGGTGGGTTGCAGGCGGTACGCCCCTATACGGGTGTACTGGAGCCTGCCCGGAGCACTGGATACCCTTCCGGTACGGTGCTCTGGAGGTCCCCCCCACCCGCCCGAGCTCCTTACTGGTCTTTTAAGTCTCCGGCTCTTCCGCGCAGACCCACAATAAGTACAGCGCCTGTGCAACAGTCTGCTGAGCAGCTGGAGCATCACAGAGCCTCGCTGAGGCGCTAAGACGCATGCGTGCGCTGCGCCCATCCATGTGGACGCCGCCGGGCCGGTTGGAACGGGATCCGGAATCCACCACTGTTCCAAATTCCCTATATTCCCTGTGCAGCTTTCCATAAGAAAGATAGCAATATTTTGAGGCTGAAGAAAGCATCTGCTTGGAAACAAATGAAATGCTTACTTGTATACTTCTATTGGTTGAACAGATTTTGAATTAGTATAGAACTGCAACTGTAGTTGCATCCTCAAACTACAGCCCGCCGAAGCCGTTAATCTGGCCCACTCGGGACCACGAGGCTGCCCCCCCCCCCACATCACCCCCCCCACCAGCCCAGTGGTGGGTTTCAATTTTTTACCACCGGTTCTGTGGGCGTGGCTTATTTGTGGGTGTGTCTTGGCAGTTGTAATCAGTGTAATTTTCTGTAATCAGAAAAATGCCCAAAAAATCAGCTGGCCACATGCATACTGGAGCTGAGCTGACAAGGGAATGCCTCAAATGCCCTCAGGAATGGCAGGCGTGCCATAGGTTCGCCATCATGGCTTTAACCTTGAGCAAGGACGGCTAGCAGCACTTTCCATAAGCGCTCAACTCAAGCTCCAAGCCAGAGGTCTTCACACTTGGCAACTTTAAGACTGGTGGACTTCAACTCCCAGAATTCTCCAGCCAGCAGAGCTGGATTCTGGGAGTTGAAGTCCACAAGTTTGAAGACCTCTATTCCGTGTTCTTGGGGATCCCAAAATGGTGAGGATTTCTTTCTTTTTTCCTCCCTTGAAGCCCCCCCCCACGCAACCCATTTTGTGCTCCCAGGGGGCTGCAGGGAGGCTTGCTAGGCACCCCATGCCCTATTTTGGGCCTCGCAGGTGTCCCTGAAGCCTGCTGGGAGCCAAAAAGGGGCTTGTGGGGACTCCTGGAAGGGGCAGGGGAATGTAATGTGGTGAGCCCAGTGGGGACCGGGGG